TAAATGTATTATATCTAAAATTTCTCCTAAATGCAGTTATTCTCAGATCAGTGACTACAAAAACATAGAATTTTGCCATTCCAACTCTGTTCCCTGCTTGGCCAAGTGCATTGATTTGTGATATACACTTTTTATTGCTTGATTTGGCATTACATGTGGTTGTAGAAAATGGAAAAACAAGGTAGACTATAAACAAATAGAATTCATTTCACATGGCAAGACAAATGCAACTCTTTTCAGTCAGTTGTGCAGACTACACTTACTGGGTATGTAAAAATGCATCAGTTCTTGCTTTCAAAATCCATATAAGCAAATCTTTCACAGCCTTAGACTGACATGTTTTCTTGCAGCAAGCAGCCTGGTAGAGGAAAAGTGAGTTTTTCTTGGATGTCGATATGAAAGAGTGACAAGAAACACCATGTGTGGAGTTTTTTTGTCATTTGGGTGCTGTTAATATTTGTAGTGAAACCTTCAGTGAGTGTCTTGCTTCAAAATCTGTATAATCAATTCTAATAAACCTGCCTAACTGTGATAAATTCTGCGTGCACACATTAAACATACAAACATTCATAGTTCTTTCTCTCGCTTTCTGTCCCCTCAATCTCAAAGAGATCGATTTTTTTGGCCCGTGTGTTTTTCCCATTGAGCATTGAGTTGCAGAGTTTTATGTAAAGCGCTTCAAAGGCTAAGGCCTTACACCCACTATCTCTTAAAGTAAATCTTTTAAGAGCTGTACACCTCTCTGCCCTTCACTACGGAGTTTAAATGACTAAACTGATCTACTAACACTTTGATCTCTCGCGTTTTCATTTTTCTACCTGTCTTTTTATTTGCTGAGCTGCGTGTAATGGTTTGTGAATAGGGACCAGTACTTGGCATTTTTTTGTAACAAGAGGAAGGATGCTTTAGCAAACAATCTAATCTATATGCTAATCATTAACAGTGATCATTTGCATTTACATGATATTTTTATAGGGGAGAAGACTCATTTCAGTCTGAGAGATGTATACCGTGTATACATCTGAACATGAGTGGTGTGTAAAATTCAAGACCCTTGATTTCCATTGTGGTTTCACTTCTAGCAGAGCTTCATTTTCCCTGTCTGTATTAAAATGATTTACTTACAAATGCCATACATATGCCGTATTACTATTGTGAGATGGCGTGCAGCTTTGATTCTCCCAGCACTGGCAGACTCAAGCCGTTGTGGTGCAGTATAAAGCAGTCATGTAGATGGCTTTGATTTAATCTGGCAAATTTTTTCAGATTTAAACTTTTGAGACATTCAAATGCATGCAGCGATTTATAAGGAACGTGGTTTATGTAACATTTGAAATCTATTGAATGCAAGGTTTATCCCAGCAAGCAAAACATTCAAGTCTGCACCTGCTTGATGGCAACATCCAAAGACACTGTGAACTAGGAGCAAAAATCACAGACACACAGTAACACAGGTATGCAATTAGCTAATTCAGGTCCTGTGGATTTACTAAATAATGTTAGCAAACATTTATTGTTGTTCACAGTAGTGTAGTTAAGCAAGCAATCTTGAACATTATTTTACAAAGCAACTGTCCTGGCCTTGGAACCCATTAATCCAGGTATTTTCTAATTTGGGTAGTGCATTGGTATAAAGTTTAACCATGTTATTCTTTGGCATCCAATATGCCAGTAGAATGTTTGATAGTTAGATTGTTTAAATGTATATTGCTTCATTTAAATTGCATACTTCCTATGCAGATTTACCTTTTTATTAGTGATTAATTTAAAAATCTGCATGATTAGCACAGATCATATACATTGAAGTTATTATTAAGGCTAAAAGGCCTGAATTTAGGCCTTGATTTGTCTTGGCCTTGTAACTTGAGTCTTTTCCATCATTACCTGAGACTCGAAAGCGAAAACCTGAGACTTGACTTTGAATTGCAAATCAAACCAGAATTGTCTGATTGTCTCATGTCCAGTAAGAGCTGACATTGCATCTGTGGTTTCCATGCTCACTAAAACTCAAATGTACACAGAAAATACTATATTATTTCAGAGGCCTCTCCCATTTTTTCAAACCATTATTAATTAACCTCTAAAGCCAAAGGTGTCATACATACATTTTTCAATGCAAAAAAGACTGTGTTTTAGAAATCAATCATTCATGTAAATTCGGCCAGTCCAAATGAGTCACAGCTTTCACAAATCATTTGCTTTGAAATTACAGTTACAGTTTTTCTTGGGCTTTCTTCACAGGCACACACTGCATTACTACCTTTGCTTTGTTCATTATGCTAAAAGCACACCTCAGAAATGACTACACTCACACAACGTCCATTCCACTTCAACACACCATGTAAAAAGCAGAAAGGCACAGATGGCAGAGCATTTTGTGAGCTTTGCACAAGCATTGAGTGAACGCTGCACCTATTTATATTTAGCTTCAGTGTGGAGCACTGGGGGGGATGTAGAATCAAAAAGAAAAGGCGTCTGTCTCGCATGGCAGAACCTTTCCTTTTCTCAGCCTCTATTTCATCCTGACCCGCTCTAGCAGTCAAGCAAAGCTGTGCACATACATTTTGTCTGAATTTTGTTAAAAGCAGAGCTGTTTACTTACCACAAAGAGCTTCTTTCTATACTCACCAGCTTGGCTTTGGAGATTTTAATGGCATAATTTGTATGAAGTTACAAGTTATACATTTAGGACTTATTACTATTGCCATTACTTTGTAGAACGCCAAAACCTTTGTATTTAACTTCAGCATAAAATCCTATAGATTTCCACTTATGCATCCCAGTCATATGCCAGGACCAAAATATGATAGAAAATAGTGGTGGTTGGTTTTTGTCTTTTGCCAATAAGCAACCACCTAGAAACATTAGCAACTGCTTAGCAATGCCTTAGCAACCACCCAACACACCTTTGGATGATGACTTCTATTTTGGCGCAGTTTACATAAGTGAGCAACTTCTGATGCCAGTTTGTGGTATGTTTGTGTATGCTTTGTGCACCAGAGATCAACAAGCAGTACACCCCATGGGATTCTGTCCCGATCTACACTGATGCAACTGCTTGTACATCAACCTAAGTCACCAAACCTCAATCACTGAATAGAAACAAAACCCAGCAAACAATTACAAAAGGTATTGTGAAAGTAGAGACGTCTGACAGGAAAATTAAGAAAAGAGTGGCACAGCAAATTGAAAATGATCTCTTTCATATTTAGGACTCGGAGAACTATTACTGTTTATTTGCTGTACTCATGAGACTCATTAAACTTAGTGAGAACTTCTGTAGTCTCTTATAACAGTATATCTGAATGGTTTTGGTGTTCTTTCTTTTGAAATTATCTGTAGACCCATGGCTGTGAAAGAGAATAACTTTCAGTAGATGTTTTATTTTATGTCGGTGTACTATTTGCTGCTATGGTGAATATTTTCTGTGATGATGCAGAAGGAATTACTGGCTCAATGCTTTAGTGAGTTTTATTATAAAAATGCAAATGATTTTTACTTTATAGTTGATCTAGCAATGCAATTGGGTTTAACTGGTTTTATGAGATCATACTGTCAGTGTCTATAATTTTGTTTATCACTCTCTATGAAGTCATCTGTCCTAGATGTCAGTTTGTATATTCCTGGTGTGTTTTTTTGTAATTTTTTATTTTGTTATTTTATATAGTCATTATAGATCACGCACTGCACAGCAAGTGTTTGCCACATGTAATTCTGAACATTGTTCTAGAAATGAAAAGCTGTTATGTGATTCATCCAGTAATTTGTGAGCTCTTGGTCCAAATTCAAAAGCAAAATGATTTCTTAAAGGGATAGTTCACCCAAAAATGAAAATGTTGTCATTAATTACTCACCCTCATGTCGTTCCAAACCCGTAAGACCTTCGTTCATCTTCGGAACACAAATTAAGATATTTTTGATGGAATCTGAGAGCTCTCTGACCCTCCCATGAACAGCAAGGACAAACAAGGCCCAGAAACATAGCAAGGACATCGGTAAAATAATCCATGTGACATCAAGGGTTCAACCGTAATTTTACAAAGCTACGAGAATTCTTTTTGTGCCCAAAAGAAAAAAAATTACGACTTTATTCAACAATTCTTCTCCTCCGCGTCACCCTAGTGCCATTTTGGACAGTATCCACTGAACGTAAATTGCGTATGCTGTTTTGTGTCAGCTGTGCTACACAGATACTCTGTTTACGTTGTTTACGCTTTAATTTGAACGAAAACATATCCGCGTGGCACAGCTGACATAAATAAAGAATAAAGTCTTTTTTTTTTCTTTTGCGCTCAAAAAGTATTCTCGTAGCTTCGTAAAATTACGGTTAAACCCCTGATGTCACATGGATTATTTTACCGATCTCCTTGCTACGTTTCTGGACCTTGATCGTGTAAGGAACCTTGCTGTCTATGGGAGGGTCAGAGAGCTCTCAGTTTCCTTCAAAAATATCTTAATTTGTGTTCCGAAGATGAACGGAGGTCTTACAGGTTTGGAACGACATGAGGGTGAGTAAATAATGACAGAATTTTCATTTTTTGGGTGAACGATCCCTTTAATGATCATATGTTTATTGTCTCACACTCCTAAAGCGTTTAATTAAATGCTTTGTGATTTTGAATACACAGGAGCCTCCTGTGGATGGTATCAGCCATAATTCTGAGCTTGTGTGTCTTACTGGACTTAACAGAGGCTAAATAATTGTGTGTGTTAAACACTGTGGCTTTGAAGAGAATCAGCAAGGCCTTTGAGAAAAGGCCTTTGAGGCCTTGGCCAGGACCCAGTTATGCTTGCTTGCTCGGCTTGACCAAATCCCTTTTAAATTACAATAGTAGTGTGACAAAGGCAGATAGAGTGCAAGAGAATGCCAGTGAGGGCGAGTGATGTGATAAATCACATGTAATCTGACTATTGACACTTTAACCTTGTCTACAGTTTTTTTCCCCTTTATATCTCAATTGTTTCCTTGTACTTATTACATGTTTCCCTTTCATTTTCAGAAGAAAGAATGGCTGTGTTTGACATGCCAGACCCAGAGAGCAATGTCAGGGAGCTTAGGGGATATTCCTCCTCCTGTGCCATCATCCGTTGGATCTCCCCGACTACCAGGCCCAGCCAATCAACAACAGCAGCGAGGGCCCAGTCAGCAAGCTGCGCTGAGACCTACCGGCCCTCAGCAGCAAAAGCCACCTGGTGCCCAAGTAAGTGGTCCTTTTTCTCCGGTAAAGCAAGGGGCGCCACAATCCAAGGGCCCCTCTCAACAATTTCCTACAACTAAGGCTGAGACAGAAAAACAAGATCAAGGCATTAACAAGAAACAAGCTATGTTCAAAACAGAAAAAGAGGGGGACATCAAAGCAACATCTAAAAAGGGAACATCGGATAAAAAAGATGAGAAGAAAAGTAGTGGCAAGCAGAAATCTAAACACGATGACGTGAGTGGCCCTCCATGTCCTCATCACCACTGTCTTTGTCCTTCATAACAGATCACTTCAGCATTCTATGATGGGAATGTTGTATGCTAAATAATATAACAAATGTCATCTGTACTCAAAAAACGGGTTAAAAAATGAACAGTCTCAGTGGTTAATCACTATTTCCAGTGCCTGATGGTTACAAGAGCACAGTGATGAGTCAACATCATTTGTAAACTTTGTCTTATCCATTACAAAGAACTGAAGTTACAAATAGCCTCATGTAACCATTTAATGAGACATACACTATAAGTATTTCCAGAGTTATCATGTGTTAACATATGCATGCCATGTATATTTACATCATTAACTAGTATTATTTATAGCATACTTTTACATTTACTACAATTTTCAGGTTTTTCCGGATTTAGATTCACTTTTGACCTCATCCCCTCCAGGTTTTGCATGCTTGTCTAATGTGTGCCATTTGCATGTTTTGTATATTGTGGTTAATAAAATGTTTTATATGTTAGTTGGCTTTGTAAATCTTTCAGTATAATTTAAATGATCATATGACATATGACCTAATGCAGTGTCCTCTGCATTTACAGGATTCCAACAAGTCTAGCACACAGAGTCTGAGTGATACAGGCTACTCCTCTGATGGTATATCCAGCTCCCAGAGTGAGATTACTGGCTTGATCCAAGAGGACTCTATGAAGCTCAGTGAGAGGGGGATTTCTGACCAACGCAGCCCCCCAAGTCCATCTGAACTAACAAAACTGGAAAGTTCAATGCGACCTCTGTTGGAGTCACATACAGCCATTGACCAAGGACAGCATTGTGATGGAAGAGACACAGCAGAACAGCAGAGACCTCAATCTCTGTCTATAACACAAGATCAGGAATATGAGTCTGATGAGGAAGCATCGGATGATCTCAGTTGTAAATTACGACATGATTATGTGGAAGACAGTAGTGAAAGTGGCCTTTCTCCATTACCACCCCGACAGAAGAAGTCACAGAAAAACCTGACTGATGAGGAGTTCATGAGGAGACAGATTCTGGAAATGAGTGCAGATGAGGAAGACACAGCAGATGTTGAGGGCCACGTGAAGACAAAAAGGAGCCATAAACACAGCGGAGATCTAGGAAAAGAGAGACGTCGCCTGACGCAGCAATCTAGCAGTTTTGAAGAAGAAACTAAAAGCACTGATAGCTACAAATCGGGTGAAGCGGATGACATGATGGCCTCACAAGGTGGTCTGAGACGATTTAAAACTATTGAACTGAATAATACAAATAGCTATAATCGTGACATGGAACTCAGCACAGATCATGACCTCAGGGAGCCTGAGCTTGAGATGGAAAGCCTTACTGGGTCACCTGAAGAAAGGTCCAGGGGAGAATACTCATCAACCCTCCCTGCAACCACACCGAGTTATACCTCTGGAACTTCTCCAACCTCTGTGTCATCAATGGAAGATGATAGTGATAGCAGTCCTAGCAGAAGACAAAGGCTTGAGGAAGCAAAGCAGCAAAGAAAAGCAAGGCATCGATCCCATGGTCCACTATTGCCCACCATTGAGGACTCCTCAGAAGAAGACGAGTTGCGAGAAGAAGAGGAACTTCTGAGAGAGCAGGAAAAGATGAGAGACTTAGAGCAGCAAAGGATTCGCAGTACAGCCAGAAAAACTAAACGGGACAAAGAGGAACTGAGAGCGCAGAGACGCAGAGAGAGATCGAAGACACCTCCTAGTAACCTTTCACCCATTGAAGATGCATCACCAACAGAGGAACTCAGACAAGCTGCTGAAATGGAAGAACTACATAGATCATCCTGCTCAGAATACTCTCCCTCCATGGATTCAGAAGCTGAAGGATTTGAAATGGGTTCAAAGCTGTACAAGTCTGGCAGTGAATATAATTTACCTACATTTATGTCTTTGTACTCTCCAACAGAAAAAACTTCTGCTGTCTCTCCATCTGCGGCAGAGAAATCATTAAAAAGTGCTGAAGAGGTTTATGAGGAAATGATGCGAAAAGCAGAGATGATGCAAAAGCAGCAACGTGCACCAGGAAGACAAGGACAACAAAACCAGGAAAGAGTCCTTCAAACAGACAAGAAACATCATTTAGATTCTGGAACAACTTCTTTGAGTCCAGGTACAAGTCCTACCCAGATCTCAGCTCCAGTTTCATTCTCTGGAAATGATCCTTCAGGAAGAGGGACACAAAGAGTACATGCTACACAACAAAGTCAAGTTAGAATAAGCAACCAAACCTCCAAAGGAAGCCATGTTACTGGCTCCCAACAGTCTCAAGTTAGGCAGCCTGCTCCCACACAGCCTCAAGGAAGACCTGGTGTTCAGGGGAAAGTACAGGGTCAAGTGCCAGATCCTGGAGCGTCCTCCTTGACATCAAAGATGTTCTCATATCTTAAAGGCTCAAGTCCTTCCACATCCCCTTCCACTTCTCCCACACAAAGTCCAACACGTGCCCCTGCACCTTGTACAACTTCTACTGTGGCACCTACTCAGACTTCTCAGATCCCTCATAGAGCTGGGGCACCACGTCTTTCAAGACAGCAGTCCTCCCAAGATTCCCCTGCTATGGTATCAGGAACTAGCAGTCAAATCAAACCAGTGACAGTGAATTCCTCCACCTCACCTTTATCCTCACCAACAAAAGACAGCCAACAGACAATTTATCAGACTCAACATGCAACAACAAAGTCACCCACATCACCACAAAAATATCCAGCTCACCCATCACCTCAACATAGCTTGCAAAGGACACAGATATCGGAAAGAGTTAGCGTGGCTGTGAGCACTGCCACCTCTGCTGGTTCCCAAAGTAGTGGATCTCTTCCAGTGGGAAACATATCCTTGTGTAGAATCTCCACAGTACCTGGTACCTCAAGAGTTGTAGAGCAAGGCACAGTTGGTCCATGTAGTAATATAGTGGATCTTAGAGCACCAATGAAGCCTGCGCCAATTATCATGACAGACCAGGGTATGGACTTAACATCTCTAGCTTCTGATACACGTCGATATTCACTTGATACAGAAACACCACCAAGCCGTCATACTGCTGTACAACCTCTTATTATGAATCTAAATGCACAGGCACAACCTCCGTTGTCAACAACTACACCAACAACTGTAAGTGTGACTGTGGCAGCATCCATGTTCATATCACAGCCAAAACAACCAGTCGTTTATGGAGATCCTTTACAAAATAGAGTCGACTTTGGTCAAGGAGTTGGATCTGCAGTCTGTCTGACCCAGACCAGGCCAATTATCACAGATCCATCCATTCCAAAAATTGATGCTTGTCTGGAAAATTTAGGCATTCAACAGCAACAACTTCAGAAGCAGCAACAGAAGCTTCAGCAGCAACAAGAGCTCCTTGAGCAACAGCTCCAGCAGCATCAACAAAATGCATCTTTTGCCCGGTACAACTTAGCTAATCAAGTGCAGCCAATATTGTTGAAGAAGGACTTGGTCGTAAGCCAGAACACTTGTGGAGGGACCCAAACAGCAGTAAGCTCTATTCCCAAGATATCTCCGCTACCTCCACCACTATTATCATGCTCTGCGTCTACCACCCCTACACTTGGTCATGACATATATGGTGGGGTGGCTTTGGAACTAAAGAATAAGCCTGCTGTAATGAATCTCTCCACAGGAAAGCCCCAGGTAATGATGGTGCAGTTGGATGAGAATAGCACTCAAGGAGGTACAGTGACCCAGCTTGTTAAAAGAGAGGAGCCGCCTCCACCAGTAGAAGTTCTAGATCTCACTGGACAGATTAAACCAGAGAAGCAGTTAGCTTGCTGTGACGTTGTCTACAATTTGCCATTTGCAGGTAGTTGCTCAGGTCCTTTTACTCAGAGAGGTAAAACAGCACCATCAGATCCTTCTGCAGAGCCATCCCAAGCACCTGGAAAAGATGGCTACCAAACAGTAAACATACAAGCATCTGCAGATGAACGCAAATCTTTTACCTTGTCTCCTCCCGGACGACTTCCACCATCAATGTCAGACAACAATTTAGCAGGTTCAAGTCTCCAATATTATCAAAGGACTGACCCTGGGGACCTAGCAGTGGATTTAAGCACCATGAAGCAGGCTTATGAGGCAGGATATCTTGGAATGGGTGCCCAATATGGATCTTACACAGATCTACGCCATCAAGGAGGTGATTCAGCTCCACCATTACCTTTGCGAAGATATGGCTCAATGTCCAATATAAATGCGGAGTATAGTCATCTTTCACGTGATCTTGGTGGTTTTCAAGAATCCAATCTTGCACAGTATAGTGCCACTACAGCCAGAGAGATTAGCAGAATGTGTGCTGCTCTTAACTCCATGGAGCAGTTTGGTAGCCGCTATACCAGTAATCCTGAGCTTCTGCAGTTTGGTGCTGGGAGAGCAGGCCCTGCAGGAAGACTTAATCTTCAACAAGGCCTAGAATCTATTAGAGCCAATCTCTTGTATGGTCCTGATGGCAGACCAACAGTACATGGTCAGACACTTACAAATTTAATCAATGCTAGACAGGCTAGCCTAAGGTCTTTGTATCCCCCTGCTGTAAGGACAGCTGATGGCATGATATATTCTACTATCAACACCCCAATAGCCTCCACCCTGCCAATCACCACCCAGCCTGCCCCTGTTCCCAATCCCATGTTAAGAGCAGTATACGGATCTTACCCTTCAGCCAGTGTAACTGCTGTACCTCTGGCTAGCCTCACCAGGTTGCCTCAAGTCACCCCAAGAATGCCTCTTAATGCCCAAGGACCTTACAGATATCCTCCTCCAAATAAATTTTCAGTAACAGCTCCAGATACTTCATCAGGAAGTGTGCCACCTTCTAGTACATCCCAGGAAGCTCCAGTTTACCTGGGAAAGCCTACAGCACCTGGCAGTATGTCAACAACTTCATCACCTAAAACTGGTCAACCTATTTCAAATTTGGGTCTGCAAGGTGTACAACCAGCTCATACAAGTACTGTGCCAGTTCAATCAGTTGGAAATGAACAGGCTCCCTTGTCTCATATTTCAGTAGATGGTACTACAACACAACTCCCAATACAGCCCCAAACTCAACCACAGTCACTGGTCAAAAGTCAGGAACAAACTCATACTCAAAGCCAGCCACAGACACAGCCTCAAAAATTGACAGTGCCACAAAAACAGTCCCAGGCAATTACTAGAGTTTTTCCAGATGCATCTGGCAGTACCACTATAACCACATCTGCTAATATTGAGAGGGAAAAAGAAGAGGAACGATTGCGACTACAACAGGAGCAGCTCTTGCAGCTAGAGCGAGAACGTGTTGAGTTAGAGAAATTGCGTCAGCTACGTTTACAAGAGGAGTTGGAGAGGGACCGCATGGAACTTCAGAGGCACAGAGAGAAAGAACATCTGCTCATGCAGCGGGAGATACAAGAGCTACAGACCATCAAGCAGCAGGTTCTTCAGCAGCAACAAGCTGAAAGGGAAACCCAGCTTGTGATGCAAAGGGAGCAGTTGGCACATCAAAGGATGCAGCTAGACCATATTCAGTCCCTACAACAGCAACTCCAGCAGCAGCTTGAAGACCAAAAGAGGCAGAAAACAGCAGCCATTGAAGCAGCAGCAGCAGAGGCGGCAGCTGCTTCGGCGACGGCTGCAGCAGCAGCTACCACAGCTCAAGGGGCAATTCAAGGTGTAATGGTTGGTGCAACGACACCTCAAACCATCTCAATTATCTATGATCAGAGTGGTAGAATTATTCCTCAAGAGGGCCAGAGTGTGCAGATCTTGCCATGTGCTGATGGGCAGGTGGTCCAGGCTGTGGTGTCCACTAGGCCTTTGCACAGCTCTTCTTCAGAGATGTCGCTTAAAAATAGTGAAGATCAGGGAGATGGTCGGATTATGAAGAAACAAAACTCTATGCCTCGTTTGAGGAATGGGTCAGAGGATGAGTCATGCAAGAGAATTGCAGATTGCAGTGTCCAAACTGATGATGAAGACACAGAGGATAAACTCATGTCTCGTCGTCGTAGAACTAGACGTATAGCTGACTGCAGCGTTCAGACAGATGAAGAAGACCAGGGTGAGTGGGACAGTCAGCCAATACGCCGCAGACGTTCAAGATACTCCAAGCACTCTGAACCAACTGCAGAGACTAAGTGCGATGCATCTAAATCTAGCATTGCCATTCAGACCACTAATGACTCCTCATGTCAGACTGAGTCAGACCAGTTGAGTAGAATCTCTCCAGCCATCCACATTACCATGGCTGAAACATCAAAGGTTGAACTTCTTCACTACATATCTGCTCCAGAAAGAACCCATAAGGGAGAGAGTTTAGCCTGTCAAACTGATCCAGAGGCACAATCCCAAGGAGTTGTTGCTCCTCAGCTTAGTGTTCCCACTACTGTTAGTCCCTATTCCACTAGTCTGCAATTAGTTGGTGCCACGCCAACCAAGTTTGAAAGGAGAAAGCCAGACCCATTAGATATTGGATACCAGCAAGCTCAGCAGCAAAATGAATCTCCTTCCCGTCAGCCTCCCAAATCTCCACAAGTGCTGTACTCTCCAGTGTCTCCGTTGTCTCCCCATCGTATGTTGGAGACTACATTTACTTCCAGTGAGAAGCTTAACAAGGCACATGTGACTCCCCAACAAAAAGCCTTCATTGCAGAGTCACCACAAAGGCATCAGACTATTCCAAGGCCCATAAAGAGTGTTCAGCGGTCCATGTCAGATCCTAAGCCTCTCAGTCCAACATCAGAGGACCCAGCCAAGACCAAATTCTCCTTATACCAAAGTCAAACCAGCCCAGCAAGCCAGGTATGGAACCATTTCATTACTTGCAAAAAATGTAATTACTATACAGTTTTCTTTTGTTGACTACAAAACTACAGCTTGTAAATATTAATTTCAGAAAATTCCATTACCATTATTACTATATTTATATGCAGCAATGTATAATTGTATAGACTTTAATACTCCTTGTAAACAATTGTTTTGTTTTAATAAGGTGTAGGTTGGACAGCACCAAACCTATCTGTTCACATGAAAAGCAATATAAATCAAATAGTATAAAATAAATATAGTTATTTAGTTCTCCATGTATTTTTTAATTTACCATTCATTCCCTGCTTTATCTTTACCTTTACACACACACACACACACACACACACACACACACACACACACACACACACAGAAAAACTGCTATATCTGGCACCGCCTTAGAAATGAGTGTGCAGATCTTGCCATGTGCCGATGGGCAGGTGGTCCAGGCAGTGGTGTCCACTAGGCCTTTGCCCAGCTCTTCTTCAGAGATGTCCCTTAAAAATAGTGAAGATCATGGAGAAGGTTGGATTATGAAGAAACAAAACTCTATGCCCCGTTTGAGGAATGGATCAGAGGATGAGTCAGTCAAGAGAATTGCAGATTGCAGTGTCCAAACTGATGATGAAGACACAGAGGATAAACTCATGTCTCGTCGTCGTAGAACTAGACGTATAGCTGACTGCAGCGTTCAGACAGATGAAGAAGACCAGGGTGAGTGGGACAGTCAGCCAATACGCCGCAGACGTTCAAGATACTCCAAGCACTCTGAACCAACTGCAGAGACTAAGTGCGATGCATCTAAATCTAGCATTGCCATTCAGACCACTAATGACTCCTCATGTCAGACTGAGTCAGACCAGTTGAGTAGAATCTCTCCAGCCATCCACATTACCATGGCTGAAACATCAAAGGTTGAACTCCTTCACTACATATCTGCTCCAGAAAGGACCCATAAGGGAGAGAGTTTAGCATGTCAAACTGATCCAGAGGCACAATCCCAAGGAGTTGTTGCTCCTCAGCTTAGTGTTCCCACTACTGTTAGTCCCTATTCCACTAGTCTGCAATTAGTTGGTGCCATGCAAACCAAGTTTGAAAGGAGAAAGCCAGACCCATTAGATATTGGATACCAGCAAGCTCAGCAGCAAAATGAATCTCCTTCCCGTCAGCCTCCCAAATCTCCACAAGTGCTGTACTCTCCAGTGTCTCCGTTGTCTCCCCATCGTATGTTGGAGACTACATTTACTTCCAGTGAGAAGCTTAACAAGGCACATGTGACTCCCCAACAAAAAGCCTTCATTGCAGAGTCACCACAAAGGCATCAGACTATTCCAAGGCCCATAAAGAGTGTTCAGCGGTCCATGTCAGATCCTAAGCCTCTCAGTCCAACATCAGAGGACCCAGCCAAGACCAAATTCTCCTTATACCAAAGTCAAACCAGCCCAGCAAGCCAGGTATGGAACCATTTCATTACTTGCAAAAAATGTAATTACTATACAGTTTTCTTTTGTTGACTACAAAACTACAGCTTGTAAATATTAATTTCAGAAAATTCCATTACCATTATTACTATATTTATATGCAGCAATGTATAATTGTATAGACTTTAATACTCCTTGTAAACAATTGTTTTGTTTTAATAAGGTGTAGGTTGGACAGCACCAAACCTATCTGTTCACATGAAAAGCAATATAAATCAAATAGTATAAAATAAATATAGTTATTTAGTTCTCCATGTATTTTTTAATTTACCATTCATTCCCTGCTTTATCTTTACCTTTACACACACACACACACACACACACACACACACACACACAGAAAAACTGCTATATCTGGCAAAGCCTTAGAAATGCTAGAGGAAATGTTGGCACACACACACACACACACACACACACACACACACACACAGAAAAACTGCTATATCTGGCAAAGCCTTAGAAATGCTAGAGGCTGGCACAAAATGTTGGCATACTGGGTCAGCCCTGCTGTCTTCCGGCTTGTCAGCAGCTGGTCAGAGAGGTCTGAGTCTTGCATTCTCAGTTTGATTCCTGTCTAAGGAATGCTCAGGCTTGTGCATTTAAAGAACTATACAACAGCTAAAAGGAAGCTATTTCTTCTGACTCTTCATCCAGTGTGTTTTAACTGAATTTCTTTAATGGATTATCTAACTTCACAGGTATACAGATGTTTTTTGTTTGTTATATGATATTTTAATGTTTATTTCTTGTAAACTGAAAACGAATTCTTGTGTTAACACTAAAATATTAGGTACACCAAAATTATTACAGCTAAATAGGATTGTAGTCATTTTTATACATGTATAATATATTGCCTGACTGATTCTGAAACCACTAGTAATTTATAAAATTGTATCATATATATATTTATAATTGGTTGACAAAATAGCTGTTTAGTTTTTGAGTGTGCTTGCAATATCTTGTACAGTAATGTTTTTATTTTTAGTTCGGTTGGTTTTCTGAACCTCAAGTGCATTGTATGCCCCAAAATTCCTCTGAGGGATTTATGAAAAATGAAAGAGATAAATACTGTAATACAGAGTGATGCACTGTGATACAACTGTCTGCATGCAGTATGTATAATATATTTAACAGATTTACCTAATTTGGTTATTATTATTATTTCCTTTTTAAAGTATTAAGGAAAATGGTAGTACATTTTTGTCTGCTGTCATTTTAATCAATCTCTAACATGTCTGCTTTCCTTTGTCTGCTGTCATTTTAATCCATCTCTAACATGTCTGCTTTCCAGATGTCTGCCTTGCAGCAGCAGAACGCAATGATGAGAAAGGTGAAGAGAACTCTCCCAAGTCCCCCTCCAGATGAGACACCTGTACCGATTGTAACACCAGCAATTCCCCATATATACACTTCTCCCGGAGCATCCCAGAGGGTTTTGCCACGTCCTGTACAAGGTGCAATGAAGGCAGGCTTGCTGAGTGAACTGAAAGCCGTAGAGCAAGAATCCACCAAATTACGTAAACAACAGGTAGAGTTAGAGGAAGAGGAAAAGGAGATTGATGCTAAGTTGCGATGCTTGGAACTGGGCATCACTCAGCGCAAGGAAACCAGGGTTAAAGATAGAGAGAGGCGAGAGTTTGCATACCTGCGATGCATGGGGGATGCACGTGACTACATGTCAGACAGTGAGCTGAATAATTTGCGACTAGCTGGGGTAGCACCAGGCACCTATGAAGAAAATGGAATGTTGTCACGCCCAAGTACAGCACCTCTTAACCAGTTTACTACTGATTTGAATGCATCTCAGTACCCTCCTACCTCCTCATATGTTCCATATCAATATCCACAGGCCCAGCCCACACCCACACAACCACCCACTGCAGCCTATCAGCAGATTGGGTTTCAGACAACACCATATCCAACCTCCTCACAGCCCCAGCCTGGAACCTTCCAACCTCATCCTCCTCAACCTTCATCCTATCAGACCCCAGGGCCATACCAGACTCATAGCTATGGTCAGCCTACTTATGAGACTGATCTTGGTTCGCAGCAGTCCAGTCACCAGGGATTCCAACCACCCCCTGCACCTTTACCAGGGCAGACCCTACCTTATCCTGCACAGAGCATGTCCTTCCAACCCCACACAGACATGCTTTCTGCCTATCAAAGGCCAAGGCAAACCTCTCTTGCTGATCTTGAACAGAAGCTACCCACAAACTATGAAGTTATCAGTAATCCTTCATTTCCAATCGCAACATCAGCTCAAGAAACTGGATTTAGTGGTGTCTATTCCTCACCCCTGAACAATGCTTATGGTCAGTATCGCCCCTCTGACCAACCTCTGACTGAACGTATCCCAAGTCCATCATCAGGATATGTAACAGATGGTGTCTATGCCACAAATCTAGAACAAAATATCCCCAGAAATTATGTCATGATTGATGATATCAGTGAACTTACAAAAGAAAACATGGGGTCCGCTGACATGTCACGGGTAGGTTATGGAAGTGAGAATGGCCCACGTGGACCAACTTATGGCAATGGCTCTGAGAATTTATATGGAAGAACTTCAAATACTTATCAAAGTGCAGTAGACAGCCATGGACATTCAAGTACCACTGTAAGTGGTGGTACGGGTTATTATTATGATGACTATAAGCATTCATCCCGTAGCAGTGGAGGAATGGGAAGCCAAAAACACTCATCCAAAAATTTGGCACCTGCTGTTTCGTCCAAACGTAGCAAACATAGGAAGCAAGGCATGGAACAAAAGATATCCAAATTCTCTCCAATTGAAGAAGCTCGAGATGTAGAATCTGATCTAGCCTCCTACACCATGACAACATCAACAGGTGGTAGTTGCACTGTGGTGTCCAGGACTGGCGTGAAAAAGAGTTATGATCAACAGAAGTACTACGGATCAAGAGAGGCTTTGGAAGAGGATGATCGTCTTTATGGATCCGGACGATCAAGGTCTACAGGTTATGGTATGGATAAAATTTCCTCCAGAGATTCAAGTGGTTACCGAAGTAAGTCTTATGAGAGGGACGCCATGGAAAGATCACAGAGGGGCACACATGGCCGTAGTGGCCGTCCTTCTATGCGTACGCAGAACTCAGAGGAAGAGAGCCCTCTGAGTCCTGTTGGAAAGCCCATGGGAATTGGTCGTGGCTCTGTGCCAGATCCCCATGATGTACGGAATCAGTATGGCTCCAGTCATTCCTTACCAGATGTACAGGACCACCATTTAAGGGATATGCCTAAGAGTCATGTATATAAGCCAGATGACCCTTACCTTGCAGATGATATGCACTGTGCTGTTTCAGACAGTGAAGGTAACTGGTGCTGAATTAAAAAACTGCTTGTTAAAATGCATCCAACAATTGAAAGCTTGCATGCCAATGATCTTGCCTTGAAGACAGAGAGAACAAAAGATTGGACTACTGTTGTATGTAAATGCTGTAATCAGTGCATGAAACCATATATGCCTTTTTGCATGAACTGCATGGTGTGATTCAGATGTCAGTACATTTTGTCTTTTGGTTATTCTTGTTGATGGCTGTTTTTGTTGGCTTCCTTTTCTTTTTTCTTCAACTATTTTCTTTGGGATTTGAGCATTGCATGGCTTCATTGAGTTCATATTCAGTTTTTTGCCACTGACATTCCCTATAGCTCAAAGTATTGACTTTCTCCCTTCATTTCCCAAAAAGCCTATCATTTGGGTCAGGAGGAAACAGACTGGTTTGAAAAACCACGTGAACCTCGGTCAGATCGCTCTAGACACCATGGGAGTGGAAGTCACTCATCCTCTAGCAGGAGGAGCAATGTAAAGCACACTTACCATGATTATGATGAGCCTCCTGAAGAAGACCTGTGGCCTCAAGATGAGTACGGACATCAACGACATTCCTCTTCCACCTCATCTCGGGAACACCGTCACCATGGAAGTAGTTCAGGAAGACAGTCTTCTTCCCGTCATTCATCAGATGATCCCAGGTCATCTCGTTCTTCACGATCACATCCAAAAGATCCTTCCACCCGCTCAGACGGCCGTGTCACATCATCCTCCACACAGAAAAGATCCTCCGATCCACGATCTGCAAGCCCCCGAGACTCAGGAGACTACTCCCGTGACCCATCAAGCCACCACCATGGCTCAAGTGGACAACGGGGGCAGAGGCAACCAGGCTCATCAAGAAGGCAGGAGCCCTCTTCAGGTTCCAGGCCACCGCAGGGTCTTGGAGAGCAGCAGCCACAATCGCAGCAAGGACAGCAGCGATCTACAGCAGGCCAGCAAATGTCTGCCAAGCAGACAGGGCCTCAGCTACCTGAAACAGGGCAGCAAGGACAACAACAACTGGGACAAACAACTCGTACACAGCAGCAGCCACCACAGCAACCCGGGCAACAGCCAGCAACCACAATGGGAGCAACTCAGTCCACAACCACAGCTGCTAGCATGGGAACAGGTACAACTCAGCAACAATCTAAGCCAGGTCAGGCTCCAGCACAGGCAAGACAACAGCCAGGAGGACCACCCACTGCCCAGCCAGCTGCTGCTATGGTGAGTTTTCAAAAATCTCTTGGTGCCTTACCATTTATGCTATTTTTAATCTGCTCCTTTAGGTAAGATTTACATTTAATCCTTTCACATTTGGTTATAAGTGTCATGTATAACAGTGGTTCTCAACTGGTTTGGCCTTGGGACCCACGTTTTCCCATGGTCATCAAGACGATAGTATCGTGTATCGACGATAGTCAAGAGATATCGACAATAGCAGATGTCTTTGTCGATAGTCAAGACGATATTTGGCTCATTCTCCTATTAATGTATTATTATTAATAATAATAATAATTATTATTATTATATGGCCCATTATAATTCGGCTATTATTATCAAATTGCACCGCTTTTTCATTCAGCACTGTATGAAAAACGCACACACCCACGCGCGCGCAAATGAGTAGCCTGTAGCCGGTGAAGTAGTCTCCAAACACAGACACATATCATTTGCTGATATAAGGTATTTCGTTGCATTTTAACATTAAGTAATCTGAACGGCCTATATATGTGCAATATTTTAACCGAGCCCTCACTAACTGAGTTAAATGCCACAGTTATGTTAGAACGCATCTCTTTCTTGTTTCTGTGGTGGTGCGTCGGGCTCGTCATGGGGCGCGTGGTCCGGAGCACTTTATGACTGATGTATCTGTTTAATTAAAATTTACTCCAAATATATGAACTTACCTGTTTTAAATCATTTATATTTAACGTGTTCGTTTATGTCCAATATTTAGTGTAAACTGTTGGTCTTTAAAATAAATCTACTTTTGATTTTCACCGTTGACTGATTTTGCAGACCAGACTGATATCTTCCGTGCGTCGATGCGGCAAACATGTCACAGGACGCGCGGTCCTAGCGATGTATGACTGTTGTATCCGAATATATATGATCTCTCTTTTTAAAATATTTTTGTATTTAACATGTTAGTTTATCAGTATGTTTGAAAGTATATTATTTAGATTCATGGTGCTTCCATAGGCTCCCTCTCTCTCGCGGTTTAAAACACCAAATAGTTATGAAATAGCCTATGACAAGTACAGAGAGTCTCTCTCTTGAACCCACCCACCCATGCACGATAATATCGTCTATCGGCGATCTCACGGACTGGCGATATGACGATTTGAAAAATGACCATATCGCCCAAAACCATTCCAGCTAACACACGCAGTACCAGTTATGTGATTTAAAAACATTTATAATTACGTTTTTTGTTGTTGATGTCGCTTCTTTGGCCATACACAGGGTCGGATTTAGGCACGTGCCCAAACACAATGAAAAGATATATAATATTTTTGTTATACTATGGGATATATACAACAGTAAAAGAACCAAAACCCCAGAAGACATTGAGCAAATAAATATAACAAATAGGGTAAAAATTACAAACAATTTCCATGTCTTCAACTTTTTTTATGTATGGAAATCACGCTTTCTTTCTCCCGTTCTCTCTCACAGACACACACACAGTACAGACATGCACTTGCGCACACACGCGAAGACGCAACCAGAAATTTGTCAGCGCTGCCCCGCAAATTTATCAATAAAATAGTTTCGCAGCTGAAAAGCTACATGACATTTCTCAGTAGTGAGGTTCTTGATGCAGTTCAACTGAAAGATTCGCTATTAGTAGACGCTGCTGCTGAATACTGCTGAGAGACGCACAGAAGCAAGTATTCACACGCACTTAATCTCTCTCTCTCTCCCTCTCTCTCTCTCTAATAACTGCGTTAGACTGCATTAATAACTGTGTTAGCCTGCATATCAATGGCTCAAGCCTCTGTTATTAGCTCTAAAATGACGTTTTGGAATTTGCACAAAATCGGATTTGGGCTGACAGTCTGAACTAGGCTTAAGTTCTCAAACAAATTAAGAACTACATTCGACTTTTATTGATTGAATGCAAGTGCTTATTGCGATAGAGAACACTGTAACGGTTTCCACTGATTAAGAAATAATTTTGCTTGCTTGGGTGGTAATATTAGGCCTATTATATTAGGGAAGGGGGTCACGAAAAGAGGTAAATCCGGCCCTGGCCATACACGTCTGAGTGGGTCGCGACCCACCAGTTGAGAAACACTGATATAACATTGCCTTTCAAACAAAGCATTTTTTTTTAATTAACTTAAAGTTTCTTGTAACATTGCCCCCTCATGCCCCTATACAGGCAAAACCTGACACAGCTGTGCCTGCTCCTGCGCCTGCTCCTGCACCAACTCCTGCAGTTGCTATTGGATCAAAAGCTGCACCACAGGCTGCAAAAACACCCCCGATTCCTGCCACAGGAATTGGTAAATGGAAATAACTCTGCTAACTCAGAGTAATTAGTATAGTTTTGTTTTTCAGCAAAATAGGGAACATTCATTACTTGTGTATGACCTAAGAACAACATCATTTGTTCTTTGTCTTTTCAGGTTCAAAGGCAGCACCCCGGCCAGGGGGTGTAGGCAGTGCTGCACAGCAGCCTGCCGAAGGGGAAAATGTTCTTACAAAGATCCTGCAGGGAGGAGCAGTGGAGCAAGCTGGAAAAATAGGAGATGGTATGGAACTGTGAATCATCAAATAAGCAATCAAAATTTTGGCAACAGGTAGAGAGAGATGTTATGGAGAATACATGCCATGTCTTGACTGAGCATAGTAATTAGTTGCCATTTAGCAGTTGCCTATCTTTCACAACAGTTTACACAACAGTAATATTAGGGGTAGCACCCAAGGATACCCTGGTTTTAAGTGCAAAATAGTGGAGGCCTAAGCAGGACGGTGATCTTAGTAATTCTCCAATTCCTCAGTTACTGCTACTTAGGATTGAATCAATAGCGTTTGTGTTTGCAGCCCATTTTGTTTGATAATGCCACCTGTGACCTTAATTGTGTTTTTGCTTTGCTCATCTTTCATACAGCTGTATCTGCTCTCGGGAAGAAGTTTACTTCATTTTGGTGATCAGCTGATAGGAAGGTGAGAAAACACTTTATGCATTAATCTTCTGAAAAGACCCGCATGAATTTGGTTTTATGCTAGTTAGTGCTGGATTGGTTGCCATGTTGAGTCTTAAAGTTTTCTGATTTTTGTTTTCTGTTCCTCATGCATTAGTTGGGGTGACTTGGAGTTAGAACTGGAAAAACCTATGAAACTGCTTCTGCAATTTAACATCTCTAGCTGAGGGCGGGGTACACCTGAGGAAACTGGTGAATATTTTATTCTTACTCACTTTACTTTAGAACTCAAAACAAGTATAAACATTCTAATCCCAGACTGAATTCTGTCTATTACTGTGTATGACACTGTGACAAATTACCATTTTAACTTTGTCGTCAGTGTACAGTTTCATTGCTTTGTGGGAGAGAAACCAACTGATTCTTTCACAAATGTGCAACTTACAAATACATTAACAACTGCTATAAAAAAAGCTGACCAGCTGAAAAGGTGGAGGACAGAGCATTTCCTCAGAGTAATTTTTGGTTCTCGATTGTCATGTACACACTGTAAAGTTTCAGGAGTGACGACCACATTTAAATATATGTGTAAATCCCCTAAATTATTGTTTTGTGTTTGTATGGAATAGAACTTACCCTTTTGAAATTGTGATAATTGACACCATGGTAACCATAGCAATGTTCTGGCGTCTCGAACATGTGGTATCTGCTTTTTTTTTTTTTTTTTTACCAAAGTTATATTACAGCGACCAAAGAATTATGTTCACCATCAACAGAGCAATCATGTTTTGGTTATGTTTGGAAGGCTGCTTCGCAGATTACACTCTAGAAGGGTTGCCATGTTCACTTATAAGCAATGCTTATTAAGCGTTTTTGGGCTTGTTAATTAGGCTCATAATTAACTCCAGTTTATGGAGTCAATAAAGTAGGTGGGTGCATGTCGCAATATTTTGTTTTGTAGTTTACTTCCAAGATACAGTGTTTGGATTTAAGTTTATTGTTAACTACTTTACCATATTTAGTTGTACTAATTGTTTACTAGTTTACTTCTAGCAAGATCTGGCAACAGTAATGAGTGAAGATGTACCTCGTTCCCTGTGATTTATTGCACCGCGCATACAGAAGAGAGACAACTCTGACACACATTTAAATACGTAATTAACAACTAGTTGTTCAGTTTGGCTCCACACTGCATAGAATTTTTGTAAATGCGGTTGTAACTACCTGAATTTTTAGTGAGTTAATTCGGTTGTAGAATGCGGTTGTCACTCCCTTACATTATCTAACTGTGTGTGTGTACAGAACAGGATTAAGCATTAAAAAGTAAATTGATGACCAAATTAAGCTGCAGTGTGGACTTGAGGACAGTTGTGCCACTTGCTCAATACTAATGTCAAAAGTTAGAGCTCTGATTAGCTGACCCTGATCTGAGACGTTCGGATCTAACTTTTCACTCTTTGGCATGGGTGAATTGGGTCAGTTAAAGTGGGCTATAATTAGCAGGCAGATCAGTGGGCTTGGATTAGCATTAGCATCCGAGCAAAGCTCAGTCATCTTTGTGCCGAAAATATTCTGATGAGTCACATTACTCAAGACTCCATCAAAATTGCACAGTTGACCATATCAAAGAATTGTACCAGAAATTAAACTGAAACAGTAATGAGAATGTTAAAAAAGTGCAGTGACTAGCTTTGTATTTAGCAAAGTGGTCTAGTAGAAATCTTGACTAAAATCTCATGTCTCATTGAACCACTTATTCTCTGCGGAGCATAGCCAATGAGACCATTGGATTATTTAATTAATTTCCTGTAATCACCATATTTCTCTGTTTTCTTAATCTACCTGTGGTCTGTCTCCACCTTCCTATAGCCCACTGTCACTGGTATTGTATCATGGTGACTGTTGTGGTCTTTTACTGTCAGCGGGTGTGTTGCATGTGCAGATTCAGAGAAAGGATCTGGGATAAAACGGGTTTAGGGGCTCCTTAAATCAAGGCTAATACGATTCAACTCTCAGTTTACTATCCAATCCAGTCCAAATCCTGCTCCATACATTGGTTTGGTTTACTCATGCAGTCACAATGGAAGGTGTGTGGGTGTGTCATTCCAGTCACAATACCCACATGAAAAAGAACTCCTCACGCATATCTAAAACTTCTAGCTTTGATTCTGCTATTTACTTCCCTTATTTCGAGTAGTGCACGTGAATTCAGCAGTCTTGCTGTATCTCATGCTATACATTAGTCAGATTTTCCAAATGTTTTTGCTGTAGTTTTAGCAAGTTTGTTCAAATTTATAGTGAAAATGTGATATTTGTTCACAAACCTTTTCATGAAGCCCGCAGATTTGGAATATGTCTGATTCTGGTACTTTTTCTGGTGTTGCTGATGTGAGAAATCCGTCCTCTTCTTCCCTCTAGTGTCTAAGAAGAATAGTGCATTGTATTACCCTCAACAATGCAAGTAAACTAGGCCAGTGTTTTGAAGGTTTAAAACTGATACCACATATTTTATGAATGTTTGACTAACTCTGCACTCTAATTATCCAGTGAAAATACCAAATATTGTAATATTTCTTTCATCTCTTCTCCAGATGTATCATCCAAACTTGAAGTTTCAATGAAAACATTAAGACAGAATTCACAGGCATGGTCTATCCGATGATATCTGCATAACCAAACAAACATGGAGGCTAAATCTCTTCCAGAGTGTTTCCATAGTTGCCGTTGAAGCAATTACAATTCCCAAAATGCCAAACTGCCTGTTCCGATTCAGGTTTTTCTAGACAGTTATGTCTTCCCTTATATGACATAATCTGTGCTCAGGTGACCCCCCCTCTTCTATAAACAGCATGAAGATGTCAGACAGCTGCAGTTCTTAGCTTTTTGCAGTCCTAATGAAGACTTCTATGCCCAGATTCGAAGAGACCGTAGCAGAGAAAGAGAACGACTACCTTACAAAGGCTTCATACAAACTCTGTTTAAAAATGTATGCTCGATTTCTAAGATCTTGACATTCCAATATGGCGATGATTGACCCTCTCTATTAATGTTTTTGTTTCTTCCTTAACCTTTTTGTCACGTGTGTAATGAATGCAAATGTGTAAACCGTGGACATGGAATGCTCGCACAAAAAAGATATATGTATACATATATGAGATATATATATGAATATATATGAATCCATATCTAGACAACTTTCAGAGTCTCTAAGGGTGAAGCCATGTGCACCTTGTGTAAAAAGCTGGTTATTTAACGTAAAACTATCAGTCAAGTGCAGAGGTCAGTAATATCAGAATGTTAGCATAGTCTTGTTTGTCTTTTATCAACCATTAAGCCATTGCTACCCTATTCCAGATATTTTATTTTTATTTATTTATTTGCTTTAGCTTATTTTCAGTTTTGCCTAATTTTCTTTTAAATTAAGAGCCTTACTAATATTTTTTACTTGTATACCTCACATATTTTTTTACAAGTTCCATATCATCCTTACTTGATTTATTTTGCACAACTGTATACTGCTGAACATGTACATATCTCTCGTTAACACTGCTAATGTAAGATATTGATTTGTGTATTTATGGATTTATATTTCTGGTATTTCTTTGTTTAATGTTTGGTATTATTATTTATACCTTCACATATTATTTTTTCTCGTCATTATTGATAATCTAAACTGTTTATCATATACATAGTGGTTTTTCTCCCTGAAGCAATAGCATGCTAATCCATACAGAGCACAATTTTTTTGCTGAAAGTGATCTGCCTCATCACAGATCCGATTGTCGTACATAGACAGGTAAAAATAAGTTTCTGCAAACCTCAACAAACTACACCATCACCCTCTCGCGCATCCAGAAGTTCCCAAAAACACATTTACCGGTGTGTAGATCCACCTAGGAAAAAATTTTGAACCAATTTCAAATGTTCTATGCAATAATCCATGTAAAACCATTCCCACTGCAACGTCCCTCGCCGATACTGCGTTACGATGGGTTCAAATACGACTAAGGAAAGTTTGTACTTACCTTGTATGTAGGAAAATGTCAAACTACTTTCTTTTTATTTTAATGGCATGTTTATGAAAGCCCTCGTCTTCCCTAGTTTTCAGGGAATCTGTTGCCAAAGGGTTTACTGTGTGGACTGTTGGTCTTGGACATCCACCATCTCTGTTGCTTGCAGCATGATTCTGCTCAGCTCTCTTTGGCACCTTGTAGTGCTGTTATTCGGTCTTCGTGTCTGCAATTTGATCAGGTGACAAGTCGGGCACACAGCTTATGCACTCGTTATTTCGTCTCCTTCAACAGGAAATGTCGTTTCACATCCGTGTTCGGTTGCGAATGTTATTGTGTCCACACTGAATTCACATCGAGTTCACAAACAGGTCTTTGTGCATTGTATATCTGTGATGTTTGAGAAAACTGACAGATGGAAAACAAAGAGCTTTATTACAAAAACAGAAAACGACGAGATCTTAAAGACACATGAACATGTAAATTTGACAATGTCTTCACGGTCAAAACTATGCTTCGGAGAAGATTCAAGAAAGCAGACTTGCCGTAAATGTGATCATTGTACAGTATGTAGCATGAATTCATCTCCATGCCATTTATATGAAAATCAGGGCATGCACGTGGAAAGCACAAACTGTCCATCACTATTCGAGTTGGGTGCACTCGTTTGAATGCGTCACGAGGTGCGTTGATTAGAGGTGAATCTTTTCCTTTTGATACTGGAATGCTGTTTAGGCAATCATGACTCTATACTGAAGAATAATAACTATTCTACATCACTGTTACCATGGAGATATTCAATAACAAGTGCATGAGCCAAAGTTGCCACCACAAAAGCCGGCCACAGTGATAGATAGAAATACTCAAACATGGGAAGTGCAAAAGCTGTGTGTTTGTAAGAAACAAATCCATCATTGAGGTATTTTAACTTTAAACCATTGCTTCCAGCTAAAATGCAAGTCTTATCTATGACTGTTTTTTTTCCAGTGAAAAAGTATTTACGTATGAATCAGGAGAGAAATATGCACAGATCAATTTCCACATACAAGTGAAAACGGTTTTAAACTAATCATTGGATCATTGCAGGAAGCGTTAGTATGTATTATATTTTGTCCAGAAGTGACAGTTTAAAATTAAAATGCCTAAATGATCATGAAAAAATAAGAAAAATGCTCTCACAAATGAAAATTCAATCACTGTTGTAAGTGCAATGGGCTAAATGTGAGTCCAGTATTCATTGTGAAATATTGTGTTCTTTTCAATGTATTCCTGTTAAAAAGATAAATTTTGGTGCATCATGTCATGTAATGTGATTATGAAAATAATGAACCTGCAATTTGTTTCCAGACTGGAGAAGAATAAAGACAAAAATATAAAATTGACATTGTCTCTTGTATTGGTATATTTCACTCCTTGCAGGAAAATGACATTAGAGAGAAAAGGTACGTCATCCTCTTTCTTATCCTAAGCAATTTTATTTTTAGTGGTGTTTGTAAGCATCACTAATAATACTATTGTTCCTACTTAGGGTTAAAGGAATAGTTCTCCCAAAAATTTGCTGTAAATTTACTGACCCTCAGGCCATCCAAGATGTAGATGAGTTTGTTTTGTCATCAGAACAGAGTTGGAGAAAGTTAACATTACATCACTTGCTGACCAACGAATGAGTGTCCAAACAGCTGCTAAAAATATCACAGTAATCCAAACAACTCCCGTCTATCAGGTAACATCTTGTGAAGTGCAAAAGCTGTGTGTTTGTAAGAAACAAATCCATCATTGAGGTATTTTAACTTTAAACCATTGCTTCCGGCTAAAATGCAAGTCTTATCTATGACTGTTTTTTTTCCAGTGAAAAAGTATTTTCGTATGAATCGGGAGAGAAATATGCACAGATCAATTTCCACATACAAGTGAAAACAGTTTTAAACTAATCATTGGATCATTGCAGGAAGCGTTATTATGTATTATATTTTGTCCAGAAGTGACAGTTTAAAATTAAAATGCCTAAATGATGGATTTTTTTAACATGCATCTTTTCACTTCACAAGATATTAATTGATGGGCTGGAGTGGTGTGGATTACTGTGATGTTTTTATCAGCTGTTTGGACTCTCATTCTGACGGCACCCATTCACTGCAGAGGATCCATTGGTGAGCAAGTGATGTAGTGGTAAATTTCTCCAAATCTGTTCTGATGAACAAATAAACTCATTTACATATTGGATGGCCCGAGGGTGAGTACATTTTCAGCAGTTTTTCATTTTTGTGTGAACTATTCCTTTAAGAGTTTGTTTAAATGCCTAACCCGAAGCACTAATAATACTATTGTTCCTACTTAGGGTTAAAGGAATAGTTCTCCCAAAAATTTGCTGTAAATTTACTGACCCTCAGGCCATCCAAGATGTAGATGAGTTTGTTTTGTCATCAGAACAGAGTTGGAGAAAGTTAACATTACATCACTTGCTGACCAACGAATGAGTGTCCAAACAGCTGCTAAAAATATCACAGTAATCCAAACAACTCCCGTCTATCAGGTAACATCTTGTGAAGTGCAAAAGCTGTGTGTTTGTAAGAAACAAATCCATCATTGAGGTATTTTAACTTTAAACCATTGCTTCCAGCTAAAATGCAAGTCTTATCTATGACTGTTTTTTTTCCAGTGAAAAAGTATTTACGTATGAATCAGGAGAGAAATATGCACAGATCAATTTCCACATACAAGTGAAAACGGTTTTAAACTAATCATTGGATCATTGCAGGAAGCGTTAGTATGTATTATATTTTGTCCAGAAGTGACAGTTTAAAATTAAAATGCCTAAATGATGGATTTTTTTAACATGCATCTTTTCACTTCACAAGATATTAATTGATGGGCTGGAGTGGTGTGGATTACTGTGATGTTTTTATCAGCTGTTTGGACTCTCATTCTGACGGCACCCATTCACTGCAGAGGATCCATTGGTGAGCAAGTGATGTAGTGGTAAATTTCTCCAAATCTGTTCTGATGAACAAATAAACTCATTTACATCTTGGATGGCCCGAGGGTGAGTACATTTTCAGCAGTTTTTCATTTTTGTGTGAACTATTCCTTTAAGAGTTTGTTTAAATGCCTAACCCGAAGTATTACACTGTGATTGTGTAATTTCTCTCACACAATTTGTGCTACATATGTGAATTACTTTAAATCATGTGGAACGTCTCGGGTTACTTATGTAACCGGAATGGTTTTTCTTTATTTTCCTGATTAAATATCAATAGATCTGATCCCCATTGCAACTTATTCTGACCTTTGTTTTCCATCTGAAATGAAATAATGGGAAAATATTGTTTGCTTATGTAATTTAGAAATTGCATATTCATTGGCAAAAAAATCATCAGTTGAAGATGCATCGATGCACTTTTTGATATGACCTATAGGAGTCAGCATAAGACCATTGAAAATGTGATAGCTATGACATATGGAATCATTTTGCAGTTTGAAATAGACTGCGGCTCGCTGTAAATTGGTTTGAATCAAAAATCATAATCACTCACTCATAATCAATAGTTTGTGCTCTGGTAATTAAATTATTTCCCCAAAGGCCACAAACACTGGCAACATTTTGTTGGCAATCAGTGTCCCCAGTGAAAGAAATGATGGGGAAAATAATGATTTTGTGGGAAGACAACATTAGATGTATTAAAAATGTCTCTGCTTGCTTTCTGCTATACAGAGATTTTACAACCATTTTCCCTTTTGGTCAGAACTATTTCTGTGCAATTAGAAACTGTACTTCATATCGTTGTATAAGATCAATGGAACGTTTGGAGGAAAAGTGATCAACTAAAACGTGTGAAGATGTTGTAAGAGCTCAAGCCTCGACTTGCCTTCTGTTAATGGACCTTAAGTTATGATGTGTGTTTGTGGAACTGTGTAGGCTTCGCAGCCACTGTCAACATTCGCTAAATCCCTCCGCACCAGGAAGGCTTGTAGCATGTAAAGAAGCTGTGATGAGACATTACTCACATCACCGAGGGACTAACAGAGCTGGTTGGTAAGGTTGAGTCATGCACAGGCTAAACAAGTCATTTGCTGTAAACTTCACAAGTCACATTGAAATTAACATTAACTTTTAGAAGAAACAGAGTTAAAGCTGCTGAAAGTAACAACTGACTGTAAACAGATTGTCACAAAGACATTTTTATTTATACCTTATATAGCCTATATTTTTCTCAATATCATTCTGAACACTATATGGATTTAATGTCTTGCAATTCTATTTCCAGAATGGTCCAAATGATCTTGCTCTCCTAAATCGTGCTCCCAATCGTCTTATAATGCATCGGTTCTCTTCTTTTCTAATAGTCAAAGTCCAGCTCATTGTATAGACAGAGCTCTGGCAGACTCCACCTTTAAGCATCACGTCTAGAGCGAGCGCTGGAGAGGGAAGTCTGTGACAGTCAGCCAATCAGAAATCACCGGAGGCATCAAAGCCAATTACAGCAGGGGTCACATGACCACGCTTGGCCGCATATGATTGGCATGACCGCAGACGGTGAGTAGCTCATCCGTCAACTTAATGCAAACTTCTTAAATGTGACCTTCACACAATTCATAATGAGAACAGCAGTTATTGTCAAGTAGACTTTTAACCTTTTAATGGGTTACAAAAATTCCTAAAATGAATAAATAAATAAATAAATAAAGATTAAATATAAAAAGTAGAATAAAAAATAATTATAGGGGACACAATAGAAGGTTGCAAAACTACTAATACTGTTTTATATATATATATATATATACACACACACACACACACACACACACACACACACACACACACATATATATATATACACACACAC